ACTCCTGAGCTCAAACAATCTGCCCGCCTCGGCCTCCCAAAGTGCTAGGATTACAGGCGTGAGCCACCGTGCCCGGCCCAGAGAAGAAATTTAAATGGACTCAGCAGAAAGAAGAGAAATGGTAAAAGAGGTCTGGAGTTTCTGATGAGATAATGCTTGAGGTTTCAGAAATTTTCAGGAACACAGGAAGCCAGGGTAGGGTAAAAAAAGAGAGAGAGAGAAACAAGTCCTGGAAGAGAAGAGTTTGTTTAAAATAAAATCCCCAGTCATTTTGCAGGAGAGGGCCCCTTCTCCTTCAGAAACAAGGCACCTTCAAGGCGAATGACATACAAGTGCTATTTCCTGACCCCCAAGAGCCCAAGCCACGCTGATCATTCTTTGTGCCAAGGATAAGGTGCTGTTAATAAACGTGGCCAGCATTCTGCTTAAAGAGGAAGGAAGTATTTACCAAGCACAAGAACACTGGGTTGTATACAACAGAATGGGAAACCACCGAATGTGCCCCATCGCCAACAATATCCGGGCCATGCTCTCCACGCCCAACATGCCCCGGGGCCTGGGAGCAGTCAGAGAAAATCCTCTGTCCTGCCGTCAGGGAGCTTCTAGACCAGAGGTGACCCACTGACCAGGTTGCATGGCAAACCCAGTCATCAGAAGGGATGGGTAACAAGACAGAGTGTGTCTCCAGTCCTGAAGGCAGGTGGTCAGGGAAGCACAGGGCTCAGGCAGCATTTATAAGACGGCAGGTTACTCACCTGCCAGAGCTCTTGGAGGGAAGTTTTAAGGCCAAAAAGGACTGCCATAGTTAAGAGTTTCGTACTGAAAAGACACAAAAGCTTATCTGTGTTGTTGGAAGCAGCAGGGAGGTCAAACCAATCCCCCAGTGATGAATTCACTGCTGGTTTATACCAGATTACATTTTTCACCAAATGTCACCTGTCCCTCAAGGGACAAAGGCCACACCACTCCCAGCACAGTTAATGGCATTTTCCAAAAGCAGTACTCTGGCTGGTA